TGATACACAAAGACATACTCTATGAGTTTTGAGTATCTCGAGCAAGTTATGAACTTGTCTATCACTTGTAACATGAATGGGAGGGGTGTCTGGAGCCATCATCATTTCTGCTGGTAATGAGTATCTAATCTCCACAGTGACTGTGCTCATGTCCAGGTTATAATCTTCTTGTGCCATTGCAACAAGTTCAGCATGTGGTTAATCTTCATTCAATAAAAACAATCTTGCTCCTTTGAGATCATCAACCACAAAATCCCAACGGCAATCTTTCAACAACCATTCTCCATACACTGCATGTAACTGACGAATCATCTGCAAAAATTCAAAATAAAACACATTAGTAAACATAGAGAATTTCATGAAAGTTTACTAAACATCGTTTGGACGGCTTAGTTCTAAGTCGTCCAGACGTAAGTCGTTCGGACGACTTACTTCTAAGTCGCCCATTGAGGTCATTTTTGCAATTGAAATTTAAATGGGACGACTTACTTCTAAGTCGTCCAGCTTTGTTTGTTAAAAAAAAAAACTCCAGACGACTTAATTATAAGTCGTCTAGATAAAACGGTCTACTTTTGCTTTTGACCGAATTGTGTCAGATATTTGACTTTTTCTGGACGACTTAAAATTAAGTCGTCCCTGGGAAAGTTAAAATTTCAATATTTTATTAAATTTAGACGACTTAGTTATAAGTCGTCTCAGGTTAGTTTTGCAATTCAAAAATAAAACTTAAATTTTTAACTTCTCCAGACGACTTAATTAGAAGTCGTCTGATTAGAAGACTTATGTTAAAGTCGTCCAGAATAAGCAAGGTTTGACCAGAAAACTCGAAAAATATTTTGGACGACTTTGATTATCCTGGACGACTTTAATCTAAGTCGTCTGAGCGGTCGACTTTTAATTAAGTCGTCTGGAGAAGTTAAAAATTTAAGTTTTATTTTTGAATTGCAAAACTAACCTGAGATGGCTTATAATTAAGTCGTCTAGATTTAATAAAATATTGAAATTTTAACTTTTCCAGGGACGACTTAATTTTAAGTCGTCCAGAAAAAATTAAATATCTGACACAATTCGGTCAAAAGCAAAAGTAGACCGTTTTATCTAGACGACTTATAATTAAGTCGTCTGGAGTTTTTTTTTTAACAAACAAAGCTGGACGACTTAGAAGTAAGTCGTCCGTTTGACCAGAAGACTTATCCGTAAGTCTTCTACATTCAGACGACTTACGGGTAAGTCTTCTACGCGAAGAGATCTGGAAAAAAATTCAATTTCAAACCTTAAACTAGGTGAGATGACTTCCTTTGCACACAGAGTCTTCTCCAACCACCCAGAACATCGAACGAAAGTAACCCACCAACAATTGTATGCTTAAATGGTTCTATCAACCATAAAAAATTTGCTATCAAAAGCTTGGGTTTTTGGCATGAATATGGAGACAAAGTGAATGAGATGTTGTTTTTAGTTCATAACAATTGAGAAAGAGAGTATGAGTATCGATTTTAAATGCATTAAAAGCTTCAAACCTTGGTTGTACAAGGTTGTTGGGTTGTACAAGGTTGTTGGGAGTATTCATGGCAATGGCAATGTTGTAAATACTTGAAGATGATGAGGTTGAGAGAGTAAAAAGGCCATTTTCGAAAAACAAGTAAAATAAAAAATTTAATGGCATTTTCGTAAATAAAGTGAAGATATGGGGTGGATAAGACAAAAAGAAGATGAGATAAAAGAAGAAGTTAGTTTTGTGTTTAACCATGAGTTTTGAATCAAATTTACAAAAACCCCTTTTTTATAACTCAAAGAAATTTGTCATTTCGAAATTTCGGATCAAATCTTATTGACAAACTTCCGCAAAAAAAAAAAAAAAAAGAAGGTATAAATACGTGAAATAGAGAGTCAAACCCCAAAAACGGTGCCCGAGACTGAAATCATTCCCAAACGGTGCGTTAGATATTCTCGGCGTTGCTTCATTCGATCGATGGCGAACGCAGGACCCTCCTCCTCCTCATCTGCTCAGCCGGTAAAACCTCAATCTCTCTTAATGTTCCGATATCGTTTCCATATATCTCTCTCGATTTTCCTCTTAATCAAACTCTCTTTTTCTCAGGAAGTCGCAGATGAAACCCAAGACTGGATTATCGGATCCGGTTCGGGTTGGGTCGAAGCCCGAACATCTTGCGATCACTTGAATTCTCTTTCTCCCGATTTAGCTCCCTTACCAAATCCCGATACTCCCTGCTCAAGGTTTTACCCTTTTGATCCCTTACCAAATACTAAACCTACCTCTTGTGGTTGTTTTGTTTGGTAGTATATTGATTTTGTCATTGTTATTGTATTAACTTTATTATCATTTAAATGTGTTTTTAAGTAAAAAAAACTTTATCATCATTACATTGTTTGTTGGTAGTATATTGTATATGAATTTTGACATTGTTTTTTTATATTGTTTGGTAGTATTTGATTTTGACATTGTTATTGTATCAACTCAGTTTTCTTTACATTGTTTGTTTGGCAGTATATTGTATATTAATTTTGACATTGTTTTTTTTAATTGTTTGCTAGTATATAGATTTTGACATTGTTATTGTGTTAACTTAATGATCTTTACTTGCTAAGGTGCGAAAACCCGGTAGAGAACTGGTTATGTCTTTGTTGTAAAGAGGTTTTGTGCAGCCGTTTTGTGAACAGACATATGCTTATGCATCATCAACAGACTGGTCACTGCCTTGCACTCAGTTACAGGTATATTTATAGCTTCAGTGCTTACTACTACATTTGCTTGTTATTTCTTTTATTTTTTTTATTTTACGGCAACTGATGATACTAATTCTACTGCGAGGACAGTGACTTGTCAGTGTGGTGCTTCTGCTGCGAAGCGTATCTTGATGCTCAGATCATATTACAGCTGAGACCAATTCACCAAGCTGCTTATATTCTCAAATTTGGCGAGGCTCCTCCCTTGCCCCAACTTTGAACATTCAAAGCTTTTCTTTTTTTTTTATATAACTTTTGATGATTTTGTATCCTGGATGTGTTTAGGGAAGATGATTTGGTTTATTGAGTTCCCGTCGCTGAGATTTATATTACGTTTCTTTAAAGAACGATATTAATTATCAACTTTCTCTAATTTGCCTGATAAAAGTTTCAACATAGATCACTGCCTTTCGTTAAAAAGTTAAACGTATAATTCAACGAACCATATTCTAATATAGAGTTCTTTAATCTCACATTGTTTGGTCCAACCTTCAGTAATATGGGTTAACCACAGCAGTTGAATCAGTGTGTTTAGTCTTTTCTCTAGAAGATATTTCAAACTTCTTTGTTCCATCTTAATGACAGTGACTTTTTAGCAGTTGGTGTCTTCTTATTGTATTGCAATCACGACTGCTAATAACTTTTTCATAGACTAAGAGATACACTTGTTTATCCTTCAAGTGTCTGCTAATGTACGGAATAAATGTCCATTTTGCATGAGTACTGATCCTAATTCTTGACCACCCTCAGGCCTCAACTGTTCCAACCTCAAAAGCTTCCTGAGTTTATTCGTTCTAAAGAAATGCATCTTTCTTGGTTAATGTTGTGAGTGGTGTGGCAATAGTTTCGAAACATTGTGTGTCTAGCACATCAGCTCTACTGATTAACTAGCTGATGCGTTAACCAGACCTCTTCCTCGAGCTCGGTTACTTCACTTGGCATCTACTAGTCCAATTTGAGGGGGCATATTGGTATAGATAATGACATATTTATATTAGTCCTTATCTTAGATATCGAATATATTGCTTTAGCTATCTTATCTTTATCTTCACAACAAATTCTTTTATAAATACCTATTAAAGATCATCGGTTCAAAATTTTTACAACATTATTCACATAATGTTGGTTTGCATAATTTGCTATAAAATATAATTTCATTCTATATGGATCATGAATTTAACTCATACTGTATCATTTTTAACATCCATAATTGTCACTCCACTCCAAATCCAATCCAAAGATCCGATTCCAATAATCTGAGAACCCATTAAGGAGACTAGTTTTCTAACTTGAGTGAGTGTTTGGAGCTTAGGTTATACATTTAACCAAATAGATTTACAAATTTGTAAAATCCATCTTAACCGATTTTCTTTCAAATTATAACTTTAACTAAATAAATATTTAGTTTTCTCTAAATACCTAATTTAATGATAGTAGGCCAAAAAAATAACCATAAATTTATGAAAGTTGCACTCACTAACCAAAGAAAAAAAATCATAACTCACTAACCAAAATTACACCCTCTCTTTTTTTTTTCTATTCCTATTCCTCTCTCTCTCTTTATATTATCTTATATTATCTCCAAAAAAAAATTTTATTTAAAGTTTTCAAAAGTATATATTTGAAATTTTAACATGTTCTTCTTCAAAAGTAAAACTTCAAAATTATTTATATTTACAATATGGTCATTATATTTGTCATAGTTAATTAAATTCATAAAACATTTATAAATAATAAACGCACATATATATCTACTTATGTATATATATATATATTATACAACAATATTAATTAATAAAATACTACACTAAAATATAAAATTATAAATAAAAATACATAATTAAATACTAACTACAAGAAAAATACCACATTATTGTTGTCTAATTTTGTTTTTTAAAATACTAAATTACAAAAATATATTAAATTATATTATAATTTTTTTATTTAGTTTATGTCTAAAACATAAATTTATAAAAATAAAACTAATTTAAAATATTTAAGAGATACAAAATTTTAACGATTAAAATGATAAAGAAAAAATATTTATGAAATATAAATTTTATTTGTAAAAGGAAAGACGAAAATACAATAAAAAGATAGAACTTCAAATTTAAAATTTTGAGTATTGAAACTTCAAATATAAAATTTCAATTTTTTATTTGGAGAGCAAAAAACTCTATTTTTGAAGTTATAGAGTTTCTTTACCTCTCTTTCTCTACAAAACTAATTTGTTTTATTAAATTTAGTTATTTCATAAATAAACCCATAAATTTATTTGATGTTGGAAGTAAATACACTACTCAAAACACACAATTGATGTTTTAAGTTAAAAAAGAAATAAATATATATAATCATCATAGGCGAGCCAATAAAGGGAAAACGCTTCCGGAAAATCGAATCAATCGCTTCAGCTTGGGTACGTTCTCATCTTCCATCTCTTGTCTCCTTCGATCCAATTATCGATTCCTCTTGTTAGTCCCCGATCTGATTTTTGATATACGTCTTCTCTCTTCTTCTGTGTGTGATCCGATCCGTTAATCCAGTAGAGATCGCACTCCGAGCTCCATCCTGATCTTTCGCAATGGTGGTCTGCAAATGCAGAAAGGTACGATTTCATCTTCCTGATTTCGGATCTTGCATCTCACTTTTAGAATGGTTAAATAAATTGGGACAATTAATTTTGGATTTCTTTGCATGTGTTTTTTTTTTTTTTAAATCTAGATTTTGCAGTTTTTGTATTCAAATCTCTGTTGTTGTAGGCGAATTCATTAACTATTGGGAGAGCTCACCAAGTGAATGCTAATGTTTTTAAATTTGTGTCAGGCTACGAAGCTGTATTGCTTTGTTCACAAAGTCCCTGTCTGTGGTGAATGCATTTGCTTCCCGGAGCATCAAACCTGTGTGGTATGCTTTCTTGCTACCCTGACCTGATTGTTTTCTTAAGCATCTTGTTGTTTGGAATGTGATGTCCTTGTTCAAATAGCTGGAAAGTCTCTGACTCTTAGAAAGATTTTGCTTCTGAGAACTGATGAATTTTGTTTAATTGTTTATCAATATCTACACGCAATATTAAATGATAATCTGGATATATGGTGGTTATGTGGTAATGTAATCAAATATTTTTGCAGAGTAGAAGCTCCCTTGTCTGATTCTGTCAATATATCTCTCAGCTCTTTCCTACAGTTTTTATTTTATTTTCTTAGACATTTATGGATGTTCATTTCACGCCTGTTTGTCACTAACAGATGCATTAGTGGCATCAAGATCTTTTTCTCCGGCATATTATATGTCTTTTTCCTGATTTGTGTGCATAAGCAGCCATCTGATCTTTTTTTTATAATCGTTCTGTGGCCATGTTTTCACCCATCTATAGTTGATGAACAATGTTCCATTTTTTCTTCTTCTTTGACATGGAGGGACAATGGTGAAAGATGTTTATATCATTTTGTAATCATTAGGTTCGGACTTACTCAGAATGGGTGATAGATGGAGAGTATGACCAGCCAAAATGTTGTCAATGCCAAGCAACATTTGATGAGGGGGGAGGTCTTCAAGTCACTCGCTTGGGTTGCTTGCGTATGTTATCTCACTCTTATCATTAGTGGATCAGTTTTTTTTTTTTTTTTTTGAATACTTACAAACTAACTCTATTTTTGTCAGATGCTATACACACAAGCTGCTTGGTTTCGCTTATCAAGAGTTTTCCTCCTCATACTGCACCTGCTGGTTATATCTGCCCATCTTGTAGCACCCCTGTAAGAATTATTGATTCGTATTAAATTTTGTATAAAAAAAGTTTCACGTTCTTGTTTCTGTCGCATTGTATTCTTTACTTGTTGGTATATAGTGGAACTCTTTTGGTGTCTCATATCGATAAATGGGTTTTGAGAGAGTTGGAGTGATTTTATGTGTTTGGCTATAGAATTAGAGCACTGGATTATTTTTTTGTTCTTTCTTTATAATATGAAACATTTTAAGAGTATTTGCATGTGGAGAACTATGTGTGCTTTTTTTTTGGAGTATTTAGGTGTCTTGTTTTGGACCTAACGTTATAGGTTGAATTTTGTATAACATCCTCAGGTCAATCTCAACACTTGTTTGTAATGTAGATTAAAGTCAAACAATCATTTTACGCCTTTTTATAGATAAACTTGGAGAAGTAATTAAAATAAGCGTAGCTGATGGTATATTATTATTCATGCTCTCATGAGTCTTTTTTTATTAAAAATCGGATGACTTTGAGCTGCTTCCTATAGTCTGGTGTGTACTACTGCACCCATTGATGTAATATAGTGGATTTAGCTATCTAGGTTCTTTTGGTCCGGAGGGTTTGATGTAAATGCCATTCCTGTCATTTTGGTTGTATCTTGTATCTTGCTTCAAACGGATGTTCATTCTTGAAAGAGTCCCATATTATAGCTCTCATATGGTCGTCAAATTTCAGATTTGGCCTCCCAAGATGGTAAAAGATGCTGGATCTCGGCTTCATGCTCAATTAAGGGAAGCGATTTTGCAGGTCAGCTTTATTTTCTAGCTTTATTGCTGTTAAAGGTTATCCAAGTTGTTCTTCATGAAAGAAATTAAAATCGAAAATATATTACTTTTGTTCAATTTTTTCTGTTTATCTATATGCCAGACTGGTCTTGAGAAGAATCTATTTGGGAATCATCCAGTTTCTCGGTCCACTGAATCTCGTAGCCCACCACCTGCATTTGCTTCAGATCCATTGATTAATGTATCCTCATCTTCTCATACACAAGAAGGGCAGAATCTTCCTGGTGGCTATTCAGTAGCTGGAAATGGAGAATATTCCAAATCTGCGGTTTCAGAGATAGTTGAGATAGATGTTCCTGCTTCTGCTGGGAATTACATGAAAACCTCAAGCCCTGGAGTAAGACAAGACATTCTTCTAAAAATATGATGTAGTTCCAGTATTCGCCTCTATTATTTGTCGCAGTTACTTTAACTATCAATTGATGTTGTTATACAGTTTGCTCCGGCTGCACGGAAAGGTGTACCCGCTGTGGACAGACAGAACTCGGAGACTCTATATTATGCAGACGACGAAGACGGGAATAAGAAGAAGTACTCAAGAAGAGGTGAGAGAATAAATCTATCTTTCTTACCTCTCTTGTCTGAAACAATGCATGCGATTTTGCTTTTATTGATTAAGACTCTCGTTGTTTTTGTTTCATTCTAAGGTCCTCTACGTCACAAGTTTTTGAGGGCTTTACTACCGTTCTGGTCAAATGCATTACCAACTCTACCAGTGACTGCACCACCTCGTAAAGATGCAACAAAGGCAGAAGATGGTTCAGAAGGACGTGTAAGACATCGATCATCAAGGATGG